CAAGAAAGTATTATCTTTGCCATTGTTTATTTTTAAAAATGGAGATGTGGGGCAGCTGGGTGGCACAGTGGATAGAGCACTGGCCCTGAGGTGCTGAGGACCTGAGTTCAAATCCGGCCTCAGAACAAACACTTGACACTTACTAGCTTTGTGACCCTGGGCAAGTCACTTAACCCCAATTGCCTAAAAATAAAAAAAAAAATTTTAAATGAAGATGGAGATTATTTCCACATATGTGCTAATACAAATACCTACTGTCCTACCTTTAGCTTTACTTAAAAGAACATTAGTATTTTGAAGAGAATCTCAAGTAAAAGAGATAACTATTTAATAGACCTTGTCCATGGGTTACCTACCTTAGGAGAGACCCCAGGCTTTAGAAAGCATCAGCAATGGGGAGAACTTGTACAATCTCTGATTCTAGTATTAAAAGCCATATACACACAATGTCATATCAACCCCATTTTACCATCTTGCCAGTAAGAAGCTTCAGTGAATGGACAAACAATCTAGGGATATGAAATATGAAAAATTGGAAAAGTACTCAGTCTCTCCATTTGCTGAAAGTGTTTATTGGTTTGTGAGAGCTTGGTTCATTGGTGCTAGAAATATTAGCCACAGAGCCAGTTCATTCATTGGGTTGGAGAATGTTGCCGCAGAGCCCACAATTATTTGAACTTCCCTCTTTTATTTGTGTTGTATTAAAGAGAGGGGTTCCCTGACTATACTGTATTCATTCCTTTATCTCAGAAATGACCAGTTCCTTATGGAATAATTCCCACTAGTAATTATTTAAACCTCTAATTCAGTTTAATTTTTAAATTTTATTTAGTGCCTCCTATTTACCAGTTGTTGTTCAGTCTTTTCTTTAGCCATGTCTGACTCTTCCTGACCCCATTTGGGTTTTTCTTGGCAAAGATACTGGAGTGGTTTGTCATTTCCTTCTCCAGCTCATTTTACAGATGAGGAAACTGAGTTTCCTATTTACCAGACATCCAGCTAAATGCTCAGGATGGAAAACCAAGAAGGAAAAAACCCCAGCCTTTCAAGGAGCTTACAGAGTCAACTGGTTTCAAGAGGTAGGGAGGTGGGGTCTGCTCTTGTCCCACATTTAAGCATCTGTAGTGCATGGACATAAGACTCCTGCCTCCTCTCTCTCCAGGATGTGTTTGACTCACTCCATTCTCTCACCCTGAGAGCCTGGTGCTTTCCTAAAGCACAAGAATTCACTTAACCCTTTTAAGAAAAACAAGATCCTGTTACCACAAGGACTCCAAGTTTCTTCTCAAAACCTCATTGTGAAGGAAATGAAACTATTAAGAGACCATTGCACTGTAATTCAGGAAATTGAATCAACTTGTTTGGAGCTGGTAAGCAGTGAAAGGCTTGAGCTGTATTAAACCACATAGTGTGAGCCTGAGCAGTGCCTGACTCCAAAATGACTTGGCCTTTCAGATGAGTCATGAGCTGCCCCATCACAACACCGCCACTTAATCTTAGAGCCTGTGCCTGTCATTTAGTAGCTAAATGAGTGTCGAGTCAGTGGATAAAGTCCATATTTTCTGTTCCTCTACTACCAGCAAGAACCAGCTTTTCTTTTCTTACCCCACCCTTCTAAAATTACAAATAACAGCTCTTCCAGCAAGCCCAGATTCTTTTCAAGGCTCTCAACTGGATGTTGCAGATAGGAACTTTGCCAGAGGTCAGCCCCCCTGGTCATTGGTTTTCAAGTGTTGCTGGGAGAGAGGTAGTAAGAAATATCATTTTGTCACAGTCAGCCTGGTCTACTGAAGTCCCATCTTTTACTGGAAGCTTTACCCATCCCCTCTTAATTCGAGTGCCTTTATTCTGTTAATTATTTACTATTTATCCTGTATTTAGTTTGCTTTGTATTTATTGTTTGTATATTGGCCACATAATGAGAAGACAGGACTCATTGGAAAAGACCCTGATATTGGGAAAGAATGAAGGCAAAAGGAGAAGAGGACAGCAGAGGGTGAGATGGATAGATGGTGTCATGGAAGCAAGAAACAGGAACTTGGACAGACTTTGGGAGCTAGTGGAGGATAGAAAGGCCTGGTGTGCTATGGTTCCCTGGGTCACAAAGAGTCAGACACAGTTGAACAACATTTTCTCCTCCATTAAATTGTAAGCTCCTTGAGGGCAGGGATTGTCTTTTGCCTTTTTGTATACACAGAGCTTAGCACAGTGCCTAGCACATAGTAGGTACTTAATAAATGTTTATTGATTGATTGATTGATAGATAGTAAAAGGAGCTCTGATCTTAAAGTCAAAAGACTTGGATTCCAGTCCCAGCTCTTAGATTTAATATCTGTCTTAGACATGTCATTTAACTTCCCTGGGCCTCAATGTCCTCCTCTATAAAATAAGGACAAAGTCACTTGCAGTAACTCAGGTTATTGTGAGAAAAGTGTTCTGAGTCAGAAATATTTATTAAACTCCTATTATGTGCCAGCCCTGGGGATGCAAAAAAAAAAAAAGAAAGAAAAAGGGTGTAAGACAGCTGCTGCCCTCAAGGAGCTCACAATGGGGGAGATAACAAGTACAAATAAGCTGGAAAGGGGAAGTGGGGCAAGATTACCTGTGGGGGCATGCTTTAGTCATGCAGCCTGGGTGAGAAGCGATCAGAGGAGGTGTGTTTCTGAGTTTGATTTCATCTTGCAGAATGATGAGTTTCTGGAACTGATAAAGTCCAAAAAAGTAGCTGGCTGGGGAGATGATGAGGAGAATTCCCTGGGTACCATCCTTAAACAGTGTCTCTTTAACATTAAAGTGCTAAGTAAACATGATGTGTACCCACACATATGTTATTACCAAGCCACAGGTCTCTTCCCGTCTGCTGTCCAAATGGACTACGACTCCTCCAACCCTCAGCTGGAGTATTGACCTTTACAGTGGCCTCTTTCTCCTTCTCTCTTTTCACTACTTGTTATCTAAGTATTTAACAGCTTGTGATGAAAGGCATAGGTCAAGTAAGAAAAGGAAAGAAACATAAGGGCCAAAAGTGTAGCTTGTGGCTGAGGTCCATAGTTTTGACTTGGTGTGTCTTGGTACAAGACAAATATCTCCAGCCATGACCAGAAGAGGCATTTCCACGTCTCATACCTTACTTACTTCTCAGATGATATACAACTCATTATTATTTCAGGACAGATGTTTCTTTCACTGGATGTTCCCCATGCCTGAAATACTCTCCTTCCTCATCTCTGCCTCCTGATTTCCTTCAAGTCCCAGATAAAATCCCATCTTCTACAAAAAAGCCCTTTCCAATCCCCCTTAATGCCAGGGCCTTCTCTCTGTTGATTAACTCCAATTTATCTTATCTGCATCTTGTTTGTACATAGTTGTTCCACATGTCGTGTCCCCCCCCAATTAAGCTGTGAGGTCCTTGAGAGAAGAAACTGTCTTTTGCCTTTCTTTGTATCCTCAGCACTAAGCACAGTGCTTGGCACATGTTAAAATTTTTTAGTCATGTCTGCGTCTTCGTGACCCTGTTTGGGGTTTTGTTTGGCAGAGATACTGAAGTGTTTTCCTTCTCCAGTTTATTTTACAGATGAGGGAACTGAGGCAAACAAGGTTAAGTGACTTGCTCAGGGTCACACAGCTAGAAAGTGTCTGAGGCCAGATTTGAACTCAGGAAGAAGAATCCTCCTGACTCCAGGCCTGGCATTCTATCTACTGTGCCACTTAGCTGCCCATCTATGTGCCTGGCACATAGCAGATACTTAACAAATCTTTATTGATTGTCTGCTCATGAAGCAAGGGAAAGAATGAGGTAAAGCACATCTGTCACTGATGCCTCTTGTCCAGCAATGAAAGATTTGTTTCAGGAGAAAATCAAAAGAGTCAGCTCAAACGAGGGGTAGAGGTAATCTGCTGATTTCATGTATCCATTTTCCCTGTTCCATATTAATGTGTTTGGTGCCACTGCTACTTCTCTCATGGTTATTACTCAGAATCATGTGTGTGCATCAGAAGTTCATGCTGCTTCAGAAATTAGCAGTTCTCTAGCTCATCCTGCAGTGAGTGGAGTCTTTTAGTCCTCTTGACCCAAACAGATTTAGCTCTTCCACCCAAGACTGTTTCCCACTTAGTCCCCTTTCCCTTCAGGAACTCCCTCCTTTGTGCACATGAGGTTGTCATCACAGTCTTTTGCTTCATTGCTTCATAGTAGGCAAATGATACTTTCTATGTTCATGTTGTTGTTGTTGTTGTTGTTTAATCATTCAGTCGTGTCCAACTCTTCATGACCTCGTGGACCACACTGTCCGTGGGGTTTTCTTGGCAAAGATACTGTAGTTGTTCGGCCATTCCCTTCTCCAGTGGATTATGTTCCTGTAGATGCATAAAATACAGGGAGTCCCCAAAGTAAAATACAGGATGTGTAGAGAGGGGGACAGTGTCATACACTTGAATCCTAGGCTCCCAAGCCAAACTTTGTGAAGGGCCCAGCCACAAGGGGCCTTTCTCTATTTGGGCCCCAAACTCAATGGCAGCTGCTTGTAATTCAGCCTCTTCCAAGAAAGTAACAGCAGCACCTCGGGATCACTAGAACCCTCGTGGGCAGCATTTGTTTCCTTTGCTTTCTCTTAGAGCTAGAGCTGGCAGTTTGAGGGGGCAACTGAGAGTGCAGAAGTTGCAGCTCTGCTTGCTCGAGGATACTAAGCATGAATATGCCCAATATTCTTTTTTAATATTTTCCTGTCTCACACCCAAAGGCTAGTTTCTGCAACTCCAAGGAGTCAGACTATTGAGCAAAGAGAGGACCAGAGAAGAGCAATTGAATCTGCTCTCCAGAAAAGGACTAAGAAAATCTCCTAAGCAATTCTTCTCCAGGGGAAGAGAGAATCCAGCCAGAAGTTCCTTTCTTTCCACTTCTATCCCGTCCCCCTCCCCCCACCAACTTTTAAAAACCTATTTATAGATTTGGAAAATTGGTATAAACATGAACTCTCAGACATAATGTTTTATTTTATTAGGTTGGAATGAAATACAGAAACCTTATCCTGAAGCCTGGGGGATCACAGGACGGCATGGACATGCTCCGAAGTTTCTTGAAACGTGAGCCAAACCAAAAGGCATTCCTAATAAGTAAAGGCCTGCACACTCTGTAAAACTGGGAATCTTTTGTAGTATTCGTGTCTGCAAGACAAATGGATGTTTCTTGGTGTTTTTGGACATTAAAACAGGAGAGGATATCACACCTGAAAATATGTAGAGTTCTGTTAGTCTCGTTTTATTTAAAAAGTACAAACTTAACCACTGAATTCTCCCCCCACCCAAAAAAAAATGTAATTGTAGGAACAGCCCATTAGAAAATAATCATAGTTATAAAAACATCATTTAAGTACATATGTGAACTTCTTTTTATAAAAATTTCATAAGATTTATAATTTGTTTTTTTAATTGTAATCTAGGTAATGTACATGTGAGAAACCTAATAATTTTTAAATTGAAATTAATGTACTTTGTTCAACAGTTAATTTAATCCATTCTTACATTTTGAAGTTTTGTACATGTGGTTTTTGTGAATACAAATGAATATTCACATAGTTCTCTTATGTTGTAAATATTTCCTTGGGGCTTTGAATCAACTTTGACTGGATGTTTACCAGTCTAGAGGTATGGCCACTACCTTGGCTATCATTCAGAGCCAAAAGCATCTGCCTCGGTGACATATTGGTCACCCTTGCACACCAGACCTCATCTTTTCCAACTTTCTGCTACACTTGTTTGGATTATGTGCTGTGATTTGGGTTTGGCCACAACTTGGATCCTCTCATCTCTTCTCTTCCTCCCCCCCTCCTCACTTTTTCTCCCTTTTTATCTGAATTTATTTCAGTCAGGATATGCCAGGTAATACTTGAGTTATGTCACCTTGGGCCAAATATAGATCACAGACTCATGTCCAAGATGTCTTTGCCAAACTGCTATAACAAGAGATTTGTAATCATGTTCTGTGGTTGTCAAAGTAGTAGCAAGTCCAAATAAGTTTTTCTCTCATAAGAGGAGGTGGTAAGGGACCTGCTCTAAGAAACCCTGCAGTGTGGCAGATGGACCTGTCTTGATTTAGGTGTGGTAAACGGAGGGAAATGGTGTCAAAGTAAAGATTTCAAGAGCTCTAGAGGAGGAAAGGAAGCAACGGGCCAAGAAGTTTGAGAACTACTGCCCTGGTGCTATTCTTTTGTACGTGAACACTTAGAAGAGAAATCAGATATGCTTCACATATCTGTCTTATCTCTTGATTTTTATCACGGTCTTTCCTTTGGTCACCATGAAACACTCCTTTACCCAAGTCCTAATTCTCCATCACATCTATAGGCACAGGCTACTTTTTTCCTATACCCAAAAGAAAGGCTATCCATGATCATCTTGATTGGAAAGTGAATTTGAACTCATACCACACATTCCCTCCCCTGGCTACTGTGCGTAGATTGAAGACTGAACTTGCAGTCTGATGAACCAGATGAGCTCTTGGGATCATTTCCCTCAGCTACTTATGAAAGAAGCTCCCATGGAAAGAGTACTAGATTTGGAAGCATAAATCCAGAGGACCTGGATTCAGATCCTGCCTCTGCTACTCCTCCTGTGGCTGAGTCATTTAATGTCTCTGGGCCCCAGTTCATCATTTGTCAGACAAAGAGTTTGTACTAAATGGCGTCTCAAGGTCCCTCCTAGCTCTAACTCTAAGATCCTTTGAGCCTATGAACTAACATTAAAATATGGTATTTGTTCCAACTGCTTCCCATCCTGAACTGAGTTGTTTATTATCCTCCTGGCTCAGGACAAAATTTTACCCTATTTCATCCTAAAAATTTTATCCTTCAATACCAATGTTACCTACTCACACTAATGAAAAATCCCCATCAAGAAACATGGATGAGCAAATGTTGCAGAGCTCCAGAAGGTAGTAACAGGTCTGTTAAAGAAAAACTCATCCTTAGAATACCGTCTTGGAACCCTAGCCTTCCTGGCTTTTCTTTCCACTGCACAGAGGCGGTCAGAGTGCTATCACTTGCCAAAGTTTGGCCTCCCAGAGCCCTTTTGCCATCGCCTGAGATTTCTGGTATCCTGTTTTTACAGTGAAGAGAAAACTCTCTTCACTCTTTTCTGTTGTCAAATATCTTTTCCCTTTGCTTTCTTTTTTAATTAAAATTATTGAATGTTACATTATTTCATAGGAGGAAAAAAAGTAGATAATTTGCATGAAAGAGAATGCGCACAATGAAATTGTATCATGACACACAAGAAAGAAGCATTCCTAGAACTGCCTCGTTATGCATGTGAGACTACAGCATGTAGGACCATAATCCCTTATGTTGCATTTCTCATTTTGGATCCATGCCTGATTTCAAAAGCTTAAAAAAAGGACAGTTTATGAAACCACATCCTCACAGAAAGTATTCTTTAGCATGATTTAGGGAGAATAGAATTAAAGGTTTATTTTTTAAGGCCATTTAAAATACAGCAATCCATCTGTTCATTCTTATTTCCAGATCAGAGTATATAATGTCCTGGAGGCCCTCTGAATAGCAGATAAACATAGAAATTGCAATTTGGCAAACATATTCTACTGATTTATGAACTGAGCCACATATAACAAAGTCTCTCTTGGTTACCTATTCAGGCAATTCCAGCCAGATCTAGGTCTTTAAAGGCCTTATATTGTCCAAGAACAAGGTCTAAGCCATCACACATTTATTAGTGGGAGTCTAACCGTGGTGGCTAAAGAGTTCATTTTAAGGTGCTGAAGAAAGAAATTAAAAGGTCAATGTTATGCCCAGTGGTACATGTTTTCTACTCCAGAATAAATGTCAACTCTATAAGAATAATAGAAGAGTTACTACGTAAAGAGTTCTCACCTGAGCTGTTTATAGCCAAGGACTTTCACCTTTCTAGAACAATTAGAATGAAAATCGTAGACCCTGGACTCTTTGGTCCTGATGTGTAGCACTATGTAATAAATGAAAATTGAGTGGACAGTGTGACTGGTGGAAAAAAATATTTATATGTTCCTGTAATTTAAAAGCCTTGACTTTTAGAAAAAGACTTTAATTTTCTGCTTTCTTATTTTGCCTTTGGCCTTCATGTATGAATTAATGGTACACAGTGGTTTTGCATGCCCATTGAATCAGCAGGTTTGAATGCCATTAGTTTTTCTTCTGTTCTAATGTAGAACTTTCCTACCTCTGAGGCTAGCCAGTACATGAAAATGCCTGACTTCCTCAGTTAAATATAGTTAACAGAGCCCAAAGGGTGTTAAAAGTGAAACTCTATCTGTTTTGAATGAATTCGGTGAACGATATTTCTTTCTTTTCAACACACCACAGCCATATTATACCTATATATCTCCTATCTGAAATTAGATACACCCTTGGAAATTGTGTATTCATTCTGTTATGAAAGTTTGTCGAGATAAAAGTAGAAGAGGCTGGGTACACTCTTTTCTTTAAAAGACAAATATCCAAAATTGATTTAGAATTATCTTTAGTAGAAAAATTTCCACTAGAAATATTTCCTCTTTTCTGAATAACATTCTAGTAAACACTGTATTAAGGTATAAAGTAGGTTTGTAAGATCTTAAACACAAGCTACAAATGACCTCTACCATCACATCTAGACCATAAACTACAATATATTGCAGTTGGATTGAACGAGATGTCCTTTGGGGTCCCCTCCAACTCTCAAATTTTATGATTCTGTGATATTAATGTGACAAAACATTTGAATCATCTTTTTTTTTCTTTTAAAGAAAACACTAAGGGTTGGGGAAAGTGAATTCCAAAAGTTATGGGTTAGTTTTTGTGTTGTTTTTGCAGCATACTATAGGTCTGAAATAATACTGCTCAGGAAAAATGTCTTTGTGCCAGATCTCCACAATGATACATAATAAATATTTGAGCCTATTGGTGTGGCTTGAGCATGAATTAGTTTCCCAGCCACAATTAACTACTGATTATCCAGAGGTAGATTAACTGTACTATGGATGATCTGGAACTAAAGGGAGGAGACTGAAGGCACATGGGCTGCATTCATAAGGATTTACACAATGTCAGGATTTACCATTCTGCTCCCCACACATCAAAACAATTCTAATAAAGCCTAAGATTATCGTGTACTTTTTTCAAAAGGGCCTTTTGTGAGAAAAAAAGATGCATTCTATGGCAAGGGTAAGATAACTACTTTTCAGATGAAGCTGTTACAAAATGCATGGGTGAGATATTCTTTTCATACCTGCCAGGAAGAGATTTCCACAGCAGGAAGCTCTTTATCTGCATAAAACAGAGAGGTTTTCTGCATAGGCATAAGCATGGAAGCAGTGACCTTTATTTTAGAAACAGGAAAATATGATCCTGGGGAATACTTCTCAAGCAACTAGGATGGTGCTTTGCATATAGCACATTCTCAGACAATATTAGTGGAGCAGAATTAAATTGAATTCTGAGAGTCTGCCTCTTCTGTCTGAGTATAAGAGAAATTGCTTTTAGTCTCCAATTCCCTTTAAAATATCCATTTGCAAAAAAATATCCATTTGCTTCTCTGTTAATTCTAAAAACTTAGCAAATTCTGTTGAAAAATTGAACTCTAAAAATCCAACCCTTTTACATTAATTAACATAATACTACCAACAGTGATTAAAACTCTACCATCCCCATTCCCACACCCCCACCCCCCAAGAGCTGCTTTTTGTTTTCTTTTTTATGATCTTCTGGCTGACTGAGTTGTGTTAGAATATCAGCTATTTGAGCACGGGGCTATTTCTGTTTGGGTCTTCAAATGCCTAACACCTAGCACAGTGCCTGGGACCTAGTGGCCACTTAATAAATGCTTCTTACATTGAATATTGTTCAAAAATTTCTTAGATCTTAAAGTCAAGGGATCAGTAGACCAGAAATAAAAACATTCATTTTTTAAAATCATATTTACTATTCTGAGAAATCAGTTGGTTACAAGGTACATTTTTTTATTTAGCTATTTTGATGAATGGCATGGGGCTCCTCCCAACTTGTTAAGCTGTTTCAGTCATATCTGACTCTCTGTGACCCCATCTGGGGTTTTCTTGGCAAAGATAGTGGTTTTCCATTTCCTTCTCCAGCTCATTTTACAGAGGAGGAAACTGAGGCAAACAGGGTTAAGTAACTTGTCCAGGGTCACACAGCAAGTGTCTGAGACCAGTTTTGAAGTCATGAAGATGAGTCTTCCTGATTCGG